TGATCTCTCTTTTTAATTTTCATTAGAACTCTGGCTGCAGCATTTTGGATCAGCTGAAGGCTTTTAACTACAGTTTGTGGACTTCCTGATAGTAAAGAATTACAATAGTCCAGCCTTGAAGTAACAAATGCATGGACTAGTTTCTCAGCATCACCCCTGGACAGGATATTTCTAATTTTTGCAATGTTCCTCAGATGAAAGAAGGAAATTCTAGAAACCTCTTTGATGTGGAATTTAAATGACAGGTCCTGATCAAAAATAACACCAAGATTTTTTACTTTATTATCTGAGATCAGTTTAATCCCATCCAAATGAAGTGACTGGCTAATCAGTTTCTTTTTCAGAGACTCTGGTCCAAAGACTATAACTTCTGGTTTGTCTGCATTCAGGAGCAGAAAGTTAAGAGTCATCCAGGTTTTTATGTCTTCAACAAACAGAGACTTATCTAAAACATGCAGGTCAGGGGTCCCTAACAACCAGGGTTCAGAACCATGGCTGTAATATAGACACCGTTTAGACTGTTTATATATATTAAAAATACATTTTTGGGTGAGTAACACCCTTTTGGCCTAGACCAGGCCTTACAAAATGTTTGAGAAAATACAGAATTTTATTATTTTTTTAGGTTCTTGCAGCACTAGTGGCTCGTTATTGGAAAAAAAAAAGCTGACAGTAAAGGGGTAAAAGACAGGGGGAGAGACATGCAGCCAAGTACCACATGCTGGATTCGAACCTGGGTCTCTGAGTCGAGGACTAGGGCCTGTGTACATGGGCCATACACACTAACCATTGCACTTTTACAGCCACTATTAGAGCTGCAGTATTGCTAAAAGCTACAGTGTGTAATAATTCCTGGAATTTGCTGACAGAAATGTAATATATTATACATAAGTAGATTATTTATGAACATGTTCTCACTAGAAGTCTTTATCTTTATGCTTGCATTGCCTTTGAAACTGCTATTTGTAATTACATAGGAGCAGGTATGCATGTATGGAAGCAGACATTTTTATGCTACGGCCAACCAGAAGAATTTTTGCTTCACCTAAATGATACTGTGCAAAATGAAATTATAAACATGAAAAAAAAATCTCAGTAGAGAAATACACATGTTGTTTTAATTGGTCCTACTGCAATGCGCTCACCTGCCCTCAGAGATCTTTTGACTTTGAATGTTAACTTGCTAATTTAGATTCTCTGAAACCTTCCAAAGACTCTGTGAGCAAGAAGAGACATGCCTTCACTGTAAATCAGCATGTTAAGGATAAAGCAGTGGAAAAGTTATAGTTGGTCTGTGCTATTAATAAACTAAACAGCCATTGATTGTGTTCCAGCCTTCAGAAACAAGGCTGAGCTCATCCTTCCTGTGTTAAGAGTAGGTTTTGTATAAGCCTCTGCTTTAGGCAGGTGGATGTGATTGAAAGATGCACACAAAGAGAAACATGCAGGGAGGTGTCATTGCTAGGGTACAGACTCTGGCTCTTCCTTATGCACTCCTGGGAAATCACACAAAATAAAATTAGACCCGAGGAATTCAGTGTGTCTGTCGGTGTGTATGTGGCTGCCTTATCGAACAGCCTCACATTATTTGTAGTTCCCCTCTTCCTCTCTCTCCACTCCTCTTCCTCTGTCTTCTCTCTGGGGTACATACTATAGGACTGTCATGTTTTAAGCTGGACATAGAGACACTAACACAGCTAATTAAGCCATGGATGCTGCTAATCAATTTAGCTCCATTCCATATTGTTTTGCTAAATAACAGGCTATGGCAAAACCATTCTGAGTTATTTTTCTGATACTGAAAAGATGTAGTCTAAGCTTTCCAATAATGTCATGTTTTTAAAACAAGAATTAGAGAAGGCCATCTGAATGTTGGCACTCTGCACTCTGCAGAGCAGTAAGGAGAAAACTAGCCTGAAGAATCTTTAAAATCACTCTTGAAGACATTTGGGTGTTTGTAAGATTTTAATTTCTCCTCTTATTTACCCGAAGAAGTCTCACATGTTAATCATTTTTGATTTAGTTATAATTTAATATGGTAACAAAATTAGCAGACTTGGGGAAGAAAATGAAAATGCAGTTTGGATTTTCTATTGTTAATTCTATGAATGAGCCAAACAAAATTCAGCTTTAACTTTGAAATGAAAAAGTATTTCTGCTAATGCATTTCTAATGTGCAAATTTGACATCTCAAAATTAATTTAGAAAAACTTTGTGTTGGGATATGTTTTGGAGATTAAATGTTAAAAATAAGTTTCCTAATCATTTTATTAAGTAACAGGATGAGCAGTCGTAAAGAGGAAAATGCAGTTTAGATTATCTTTTATTCTATTTTATTGCCCTTAAATGAAAACCCATTTCTGTTAATACATTTTAATTTTCAAAGTGACTTTGCTGGAAGATCTTTTGAAAATGAAACATCTTTTTTTTCATCTTTTAAATTAATTTATGTATTTAGCAAATAAAAAAATCCAGTTTAGATTTTTTTTTTTTTCGAAGTCAAAATCTACTTCCATACGATTGGGCTATAAGACCAGCAACAAGTCTGCGAACTTGAAATGTGTCTGTATTTTTAGTTAGATATCATTGTTTTTCCATCATATACATCATGTTTTATGTCAAAAACTCATTTTTCGTTTTACATAATGTTAAGATGATGTGATGTGGGGTGACAGGAAATGAGCCGTAAATACTGAAAATCCCTCAAACAGTCAAACATCTAACAGCAAAAGTTAACAGTGGAGAGAGTTTTCTCAGACCCAAGTAAGCATCTGGTAGAAAACTTCTATTGTAACAATCAATCTTCCTCAGTCTTTAAACTTAATGCAGAATCATGCCTTAGTGAGCTGGGATTATAACGAGAGAGGTTAGGGATCAGACCACTACTTCACATTCACAGTTTGCTAATGACCTGAAGGCAGTTGGGACCACAACCACCCAGACACGGTAATTGATGGAAGACTTTTAGCCCCTCTGTAAGTTTGCTAGTGAACATCTAAATAAAACAAGAAAGGTTTGGAAGAAAGTGCGGCTTCCAAAATCAAACTTTTGGCACTAGCTAGACCAGGTGCACTCTGAGGAAATATAAAAAAACTTAGATTTACACAGACTTTATTGTCATCTTGTTTACACAGAGTGTATACAAAACAAAATTATGATGCATACAGCTTTTCAACAGTGAATGAGCAGCCTAGAACAGTGAAATGAACATTACCGTTTATAAAATGCAGCAGTGATCAGAATGTAAGCAGTGAAGGAGAAAAGAAACACAGTTTAAAAATATTGGTGCAAAAGGCATTGATATGGAAGGTTCAGTGCATTGCAAATAAATTGATAAATATGGTGCAAAATGCAGTATGGTGCAAGCTGAGCACTTCTCGATAAATCCTTCTGTTATGGACAGAGGTGGTAATATGATTTATTTGCTTTCTTGATGCACAAATTGATCATCAAATTGATAATCTTCAGAAACAAATAAAAAGGGCCAAGTACCAAATACATGATATGACCCATTTTTTCATCAGCTGGACTTCTGAATATATATTTTAAACATGACAATGGTTTAAAACACATTATTAAGAAAAGAAAGCCATGATGTCTCCAGACTGCAAGCTTACAGAAAATCTTTGGAGGAGGCTTAAGCAGCAACTAAGAAACCAGTAGTGGAGCAAGGTTTTAGAAAGTTTCTGTACAATGAAAGTGCCCTAAAATCCCTCCTTAGATGAGTACAAACCTTGACAACTACTGTTGATCGCGACACATCTTACTGATGTTACTGCCAGCAGGACAGTCTCTGCCAATTTCTCCATCACATTTAGAAAATAAACTACTGTTTTTATTTTGGTCCTTTCCTCCCTGCCTCAGCTGAAGATGAACTACAACAGAAATAAGTGATGTGTTTCCTTTTTTTGTGAGTAAAAGAAAACCTAAAACTACCTGGACATAAAATCTTCCCTCATGGATCTTTTTGGAGCCAACTTGCTTTTCCCATATTGAGCTTTAGATCAAACTACTAAACAATGCTAAATTAAATTTGTACCCAGATGTACAAGGAAATAAAATGTCTGTGCCAGCACTTTAACAAAAAACAAAGTATAATTCAAACTGCATTAGCCCAGTGATTCATTATATCAAAGGTAGGCAGCCTACAGAGTATTTCTTAAATAGTTTTAAAGTGTGAGTGTACAACATCCTGCGTGCAGCAGAGAGCACAGACACGGACGGAGCATATGAGTATAAAAGACAGACATCTCAATTTAATATGGCTTTATTCTCCCTCTGGTCATATTGATTTTATTTCAACGAGGCTCTCAGTCAGAATTTTGAAGCAGAATGCCAGCCAGCTATATGCTCAAAACACAAGTAACATCAGTAAAAAACATCCCGCCATTCTTGCCTGCCTGCTGGCATTTGTTGTCAGACAGACTGGTTCAAATACAAGAAAATCTAAGTGCTAAGAATATAAATGTTTGCCCTTGTGGAATCGCCTGGTTACCGCCCTCTCGCAGTATCTCTCACTCCAAAGTTCCTCTTTGCATCATGCTCACACATTGCATGTATGTTGTTTTGTATGTTTTTAGCTATTGTGTGTGTCTGTATTGTCGCAAACCTCATGCTTCTGGCTTATTGATCTCTGCTTGTACATGGGGAAATGAGGATGGATCAATATAAAAAAGGAAGATACACAGAAAAACAAGAATAAATGGCCAAAGGGATCCAACATTACACAAAATGAGCCAAATATCAATCTGAGACAGCAGGAAAAATTCATTTAAGCTCTGAATCCTCATTCTGGTTCTGATGCTTGGGTTCAATGTTTCCTTCCCCCACTTATGAATTCTGAATCATCTTGGAAGCAAACACTCACTCTTGACAGAGTCTTAGTTTGAGCGTTGTTCTTGTCAAAGACTGAGTGGTGTTGGAAAGAGGCATGTGTTTTATATGGTATATTTTTTTTTCAAACCCATGTTGACTGTGTGTTTTTCATTTATACCCTGCAGAGCAATCACTTTGGACAATCACCTAGTTGTCCTGGCAACCACCGCGGCAGATGCAGGACGTTACCATGTAGAGGCAGTGAACGAGATGACAGGAGAGAATGTGACGAGCCCTGCTGTCTACCTGAGCATCTCAGGTAGAGAAAAAGATTCTTTATGGGGTTGGAGGATTGGATGTGAAATCAAACAGGGCTTGTTATGTGAACAGCATGTGAAGCATCAGACTGCAATCCAACCAGGCAGGAGTCATGCTTCTATCCTGGGTTAGCAGGACCAGTCAAATGGGAGTGACATCATAGGGGACCGCCGTGGTATAGTTCACCTGATTTTCTAAATTATCCTTATCCTAAATATTTGACATTTCTGGCTCAAAATTATGTAGATATTTGCCCTTGAACCAAATAATTGTGTTAAGATGAGGATAAATGTTCTGTATGATTTTTATCTGAAGTAAATTAAAAAAAAAACACTGACACAGAAGCACACACGTTGACTCATTTGCCTTTTCTCTGCCTTTCTTTACCATATAATTATGGTAAATCTCTTATGAGGACAAAATTAAAAAAATTCTCTTGCCTCAATTGGTGTTCTCTCTAATAGAGACCAGAATTGGTTGTTTAGAGATGACTTTGTTTACTTTTTTAGTGTAATGTCCTCAGCTGACTTCTTCTGTTATTTATGGCTATATAAATAAAACAGAGTTTGATTAAGGCATTCAATAAATGCCTGAATTGTTGATGATATTGAAAAAATTAGGATGGAGCTTTATAAATTAAACATAGTACAGCTCTCGTGATGAAGTTTCATCAAGTAGAAGAAATTTTTAAATAAGCAAGAAATATTCACCATTGATTGCTTGTTTCCAAAAGTATGTGGTATATTTTGATCAGTAGTTGTGTTTTTTTTTTTGTTTTTTTTTTGTTTTTTTATCTATACAACGTGTCAGAAACAAATACATTTACTATCTGTCCTCTTTAGGGAAAAATAAGATTCCCTGTGAAGCTTCTGACGCAGCTTTTTAATTTCTCAATTTAAAAAAGACCACAGGCAGCTTTACAGCACATCTGCATTGTTAAGATCTGTTGCTGCTAGACTTTGCAGCTTGTTCCTAATGAAATCCTTCTGGAAGTCTCCATGGGTATGTATGCCAACATCAGGACCCCATGCCTGTTGATTATGACACCAAAGAGAGTGGTCCCAACTTATCGTGGGGACCCACTGAGTTTTCTCCCAAAGCTGGGAGGCAGCAGTTCTAGCTTTATACACACAGACCAGTTCAGCTCCATCAGCTTCATATGAAACTATTACTGCAACCTATGTCCTTTATTTTGCATTGGCTGAACCACTGCTGAAAACCTGCTTCAGAGAAACTACAATGATCACAAATTAGCAAAAAACTGCACATCCAGATCCTGATTAGATGAGCTGCACAGTATTTGGACTGACACATAGCCTTTTGTTTATTATTAGAGACTTCACTCAAAGGAATTGCAAAGTATAAAAGGTTAAAAATTCAGCCTGAGTATATATCTCTTGCCTTTATCACGTTCTCTCGTCCAATGAATTACTACATATTCTGAATGCTTCTCACTATATCTTCTCTCCTTGGGGGCCAGCGGATTGACTCTACTGTCTAGCAGTCCTTCAGCTGAAGTGCTCACTATGTTTAAAGGAGAGTGAGAGGAAGGGAGGGAGTTTTCTGTCCCTTGTGGCTGCGTAGTGTTTTAATTAGATTCTCTTTACAGGGTTGTATCCTTTGGCATCCTTGTCTACAAACATACACATTGGAAACACAATCACATAAATATAGGCACGGTACCTTGTTACAGCTGTCAGATTAAAGTGTTCCCCTGGGCATTTTTAGGGAATGTTAAGGGTATAGTTAGGATTCACTGATCAGTCTCTGGCCATAAACATCTGCACGTCTGTGTGTCTACGGCTCTTTTACTTTATAAGTGTGTGTTTTCTACAATAAACATTTCTCTTGTAAATATAACATGTCGCGTACGGCAGGTTTGATTTATTAGTATCTATAAAGAAATAGATGAGGAAGAGATGTAATAAAAACTGGGCAACAAACCGATGAGTTAAAGTGATGTTTAAAAGGAAGGATGATACAGAGAGTTGCATCAGTTAACAAACAAATTACACATAGATTCATTACATTTTTAGAAGTTCTTTATACAAATTGATGGTATCATATTTTCATACAACATACGTACAAGAAGTTATGCCCTTTTGAATTGTATTTTTTTTGTATCAGTACATATTAAAGATGATCTAATCTTTAAGTAGTTTCAGAATAGAAAAACACTGAACAGCTCCCACATCAGCACTTTAATCCACTGAGGATTACTAAGTGGAGAAGCTATGTATGAAAAAGTAAGTACAGCCTGGCTGCTTCGCTTGGAGTTTAAAGTAGCAGCTAGATTCTGCTAATTATATTTGCTAAATTGATGGATCATCTGCAAGAAGGACAAGCAGGAGTTTGAGAGCAGTGTTTTAGAGCATTGGTGTGTGGTAACACGATGCCATGATGGAAATCCATCAGTGATGTCCTAGAAATGTACTCATCGCTGCCTCTCATTGTGAAAAAATACACAACTTTTAACATTTGACCTTGAGAAATTGTGCAAATACAATAACATTTATATACTGTGATATGCAGATTTACTCTTCTTACAGTTATGTAAGAGAGTAAGTATGCTGGACTCATTAAAGTAAACTGACAGACACAAGCCAAAGTTAAGTGAAGAAATGCCTGCCAAACGAGATTTAATTAAAGAGTTGGGCAGTTCGCCTGGTTCAGCGAGAAAGGAAAATACAAATTAAATCATTCAAATCACTAACAGTTTTTCCCTCTTCTTCCTTCTCTTTTTTAATTCCTCTCAGTCATATCTCTTCCCTGTGGTTCCTTTTTTTCCCCGTCTTCACTCTGTTAGGCTGCTCTTGTAAGATCTGAATGCAGTAAGATGTAGAAATATTGTTCTTTCTTTTTTAGAAATTCTTCAGAATTAATGAGGTATTTATTTTCTATTCTTCCCATCCTGCTGTTATGCAGACGTTTCTATCAACGGACAAGAGGATAAGAGTAACAGCACTAATAGAGACAGAAGCAGACAGAATAACTGTTGTGATTTATGGTCAACAAGCTGTTCAGATTTGGACTGTTGTGGATGTTAGCTTGTTTTTTTTGCTCTGGCACAACAACAAATGCTGGCGAAAGAGTCTCATTTTAATGACTTGGACTCCACACTTCAAAGTCTGACATTTTCTTGGCTAATTAAATGGCTGTAAGCACTGATAGAAGATATGATAGAGTCAACTCAGTGATCAACCTACTTGACAGATTCATTATCTGCGTCTTCCTGACCACCATCCTTTAAATGTGTCCTAGTCTGCTAAAAATAAGAGGCACTGTCATCCGTGGTCGAGCTGGAACAGCCACAATTGATAGCAGCTCAAAAGCTTGGTGAGAGGTCACACAGCGTAATCACTGGAAGTACAGCCTGCCTCTAAAATAAACAGCTCCGGCAGCTATTTATCACCATAGACGACATATGGCGTTACAGGCTGGCACTTTTGGTCAGCTGAGAAAATAGTTAGATTTCATCATAAAGACAGGGTTCCTACCATCTGGAGAGTATACAAGTAGAATTTCACCAAAGTATTTCAAGCTCTTCACAGTAAAAGAAAATAAAAAAGTAGAAAAATAGTTTGTATTTTATGACTATATTGCTTTTTATTCTAAAAGTCGTATAATCATCCATCCACTCCAGACCATTCCCCATTTCTCTTTCCTTCCTTCCTACCATCCTGCGTTCCTTCCTTGCTTACTCCCCTCCTTCTACTTCAGTGACTCTGCAGGTTCCACTTATTAAGCATTACCCCATAGGAAGGCAAAAGGACTGAACTTGAGAAAGTATGAAATTTCGAACATGAACTTCGTGTCACAGCGCTGTAAAGACTAAAGTCAACACAGAAAACCACAAACAGAGCCATTCCATGCAGGGAGAGTAAGCCTGCCCTCAAAGTGCTGCTCTTATAGAGGAGTTATATAGTGCAGTACTCGATTTAGTGTGCCTCTGTGTGTTTGCATGACAGAAACTAATGGCCTCAGGGTTTTTCTTTTGACACAATATAAGGACCCCTGCTGCAATTAATTGAGCTTCATGGATACCTGCAGTAACATCTCCTTCTCTTCCTCTCTGTCACATACCCACGCACTCAACCACAGACACATGTGGACCTGTCAATTATAAAAGTCAGTCATTCTTCCTGTTGCCGTGGAAGACAACATGTGTGTCCGGCTGTTCCTTTCACAGCGGTGTTGGTCATTGTAGATTTTTGAATCAGACCATTAGAGCAGTATAACATCCCCACAGAGGGCCCTCTCTGTGGGTGGACTCAAACATTAAAGCATGTACACAGGAGAACATTCACATCTAGGACGTATAGGCCCAGAAACACTCAGTATAACTGAGCATTATCTATACAGGTGCTGGTCATAAAATTAGAATATCATGAAAAAGTAGATTGATTTCAGTAATTCCATTTAAAAAGTGAAACTTGTATATTATATTCATACATTACATACAAACTCATATATTTCAGATGTTTATTTTGTTTAATTTTGATGATTACAAATGACAACAAATGAAAATCTCAAATTCATCATATCAGAAAATTAGAATATTACTGAAGACCAATAAAAACAAAGGATTTATAGAAATGTTGGCCAACTGAAAAGTATGAACATGAAAAGTATGAGCATGTACAGCACTCAGTATTTAGTTGGGCCTCCTTTGGCCTGTATTACTGCAGCAATGCGGCGTGGCATGGAGTCGATCAGTCTGTGGCACTGCTCAGGTGTTATGATAGCCCAGGTTGCTCTAATAGTGGCTTTTAGCTCTTCTGAATTGTTGGGTCTGGTGTATTGCATCTTCTTCTTCACAATACCCCATAGATTTTCTATGGGGTTAAGGTCAGGAGAGTTTGCTGGCCAATTAAGAACAGGGATACCATGGTCCTTCAACCAGGTACTGGTAGCTTTGGCACTGTGTGCAGGTGCCAAGTCCTGTTGGAAAATGAAATCTGCATCTCCAAAAAGTTGGTCAGCTGCAGGAAGCATGAAGTG